ACTTGAGGAAGAGGAACTTCCACAACGAACAGAAATTTTATTGGGGTCTTGAAATGTGGGGTCGTCATCACTTAAGTCAGGATCACTTTCGAGAGTATTAATTGGTGATATACAATAATTAGGTTGCACTCTTGAACTAGATCTGAAAGAAATTTTTATGTCTGATTGACTGGTACTAGCACTCATTGCATTTGGATCTTTATGTGTGACGTTTGGATCCATGGTCTTTGTGACAATATCACTCAAAGTGGATGATTTTACGGAATTAGAACTGGAACTAGAACTGGAACTTGAACTGGAACTAGAACTGGAACTTGAACGCGATGAAGTAGAACTGCTAGATGATGAAGATACTCTTTTTTCATGACTTAGTCTTCTGGTAATTGGAAAATTTGACTTATTACAGTCGTCAGGAGAAGATTCAATCCCGTACTTTTTTGAACTGCTTTTCCACTGTTTAAGAACAAAAAAAAAACATTGTAAAAAAAATAAATTAGTGAAAGGCTCAGCAAAATTAGTTTGAAACAAACAAAAACTATTGAAAACCAATGTAGCACTTACCATTTCAACAACATTATTATAACAGCAATTTAAAATATTGTTGCTAATAATATCTTTATTAGGCGAATTTTCAATGACTGAGGAACTTGGCGACAACTCTTCCGTTTGATTGCTGACTGTCAATTTCTAAAATGAAACAAACGAGAATTAAGTTTAATTTGATGAGTACATAGGTGGGTAGATTTAAAAAAAAATATTCAAACTATATCTTACTAGTTCGCTTTGGGTGTTGTCACCAAGACTGATTATACTTGGTGAGTTTTTGACGACTTCATCGACCACAGAATTTGGAGACAAGTTCTCTTTCATTTTATTGTTTGGAAATCCCTATTGGGTGACAGAAACCATAATTAAACCTTTTACAACTAATAGCTAAAAATAAAGGTGGTTGCACAAATAAAATCATTAGCAATTAAAATATGTAACTACCTCAAGTTCTCCTTTTTTGCAATATTTATCTTTTCCCAAAGCAATGTCCATTATGATATCGCTTCTTCTTTTCATTTCTATGAATTCCAGGTGACTTTTTATTAAACTGTATTGTATTTAATAGTCGTAAATAGACGTATTAACTATTATACCTTCTGTTTTCACCTAGTAAATAATAAAAAATAGTATCAATACTTAATAGAACACAAAAGATAATACTTCGATAAATAAAATAACGACCTAATTTTAAGTCTGTCATATTGAGTCAAGAAATATTAGGATTAGAGTATTAATGAAAAGACTTAAACTTAAGTGAGTCACTAAGCATAAAAATGACTAAAACTTAAATAACTCACTTAAATTGACAAAATTATCGGAATAAAAAAAGCACAAAGCGAAGTTTGTCGTTTTATTACCTAAGAAACTGAAGTGAACTTACCGCTGGTTTCGGAATAAAATCGCCTCAATCAGTTTTCGGTCAATCTTTGCCTATCTACGTAACGTCACATGCACGATACTGTCAACACAATACTAAAAGCGTCGTTTCCGCAACGACGCGGTCCCGAAATTTTGCGAGTAAGAAAGAGACCGATTGAACTGGTTTGTCCCGTTCCCACCCGAATACGGCGGTTTTTTATGGACAGATAGATAGACAAAGTTTTTTTGAGTCATTCAATGATCATAACTCATTTTACCATTTTTTTGAGTTAGGTCGGTTTCATCCTAAAGGTGCGAAGTATAGCCTACAAATTTGTGGGCACAAATAATTGGTCCGAGTCTGGATGTTTGTCCTTGTGCAATTTATATATGTAAACTGTCTCCGCGATACAGGAGAAAATGTTAGTGTGATTGTGTGTGTTGGTTAAGGAATTAAAAAAAACTTTCAATAATAAAAATAATAAAATGCTCCATCCCTCCCTCACATCACTTATACCTATACTTTTATATTACATTAATTTCTTAGATAAATAACATTTTAGAACAAAATATTGCAAAAGTTATAAATTGTTATAATGCTGTGTAATATTGACCGTTATTTCCAATTTACTACAGGCTTAGCAGCGTCTATAAGTCATAAATTGAATGTTTTATTGGAATGACACGTTCATTAATAAGTACAGAAAGAAATAAACATAGCGAACTAATGTGGAGTGTGTTGAGATAACGTTTTTAATTTCAAAGCAGTATAAAAATTTATATTTATTTATTATATACTAGCAACCCGCCCCGGCTTCGCCTGAGTAAGATCTATTATTGTAACGTTATTTTGATTTAAGATAATCAACAAAGACCATTTATTTCATCAATTCTTCGATTTCTCAAAAGATATCTCCAAGTTTTTCAAATAAAATATAATCTAGATCACTCCTGTCCTGGCATTGATTTCTATCTTCGTGACGTTTCATTTTCATTACAAGCGCTTCAGCCATTCCGTAGACCACAGACATGCAGGCAGAGAGATAGAGAAACGTTTAAAAAAATGGTTGTCCAAGTCTTGATGGCATGCAAATAGGCTCCCTTTGCTTTTTAAAAGGCAGTTATTTCGTTATTACAAACAGATACTTCGATTATTTATATAGATAATATCAGTAAAATAACGTCACAGATTGGTAAAAATATTAAATCGTATTTAATCCAGATGAAACCTCATACACAGCTTTTTCTGCCGACTTCCAAAAAGTAGACGGTAATCAATTCGACTGTATGTTTTTTTTTATGTGTGTTACCTCACAACTTTTTACTGGGTGAACCGATTTGGATGATTCTTTTTTTATTTGAAAGCTGGTACTTCCCGTGTGGTCCCATATGAATCATAACACATACCATATGATCAAGGTCAGACCAATAGTTTTTGAGTTATTCTTAATAACTTATATTGAAGTCGGCTGTACGAAATTTTAAATTTTAAATTATTAAATTTAGTAGAATTCAATCCAAAGATAACATTTACCTAGGCCAACTCCTCCAGATATATTCTATTGCATTGCCCAACTTTACTTCCGCTTTCATTAGTCGAAGCATCCATTTAAAGCATTTTATTTAAAAACAAAAATAATCTAATGAAAAATCGAGTTCTTTGATACTCAGATTCTAAGTAATGATTACAAGATATTGAACAATGTTATATAATGTACATATTTGCTATCACAGTTTATCGATCAAGGACAACGGTCAAAGCAAAGGTAAATTGGAGGTCGTATGTATTAGGAACAAATTAAACAAGGAAATAATTTACTTTAAAATATTTCCAATAACATACGTGTTTAAAATATTTACTTTAAGATATTCTTCAACGGATATCAATGACTCAATTTCACACTGTGTGGGAGCACCATAATATTACAGTGCAATGACCTATAACGAGACATTGATTGAAAAGCAGTTATTCTTTGCATATCTGACCTCTCAGGTTATTCAGACGAGACGATTGCAAAAACACATCTTAATATGTTTTTATTTATTATTTTATACGTGGTAGAGCCATGCTGCAGCTATATTAGTAGTATAGTTGTAGCACGAATGGGTCGGCTCGACCGGGGAAGGACCACGCTCTCACAGAATACCAGCGTAAAATAGCATTCTAACACTGCTGTGTTTCGTATGGTGAGTGTAGAGCTTTTTACTAGAAAAGAGGCATCCCATCTTAGTCCTCACGGGTGACAACGCATCTGCATTTTGATCCGCAAACGAGGATAAATGTATACGTCTATGGGCCACAGCAACCACTTACCATCAGGTGAACTGTGCGCTCGTTTGTCACCCGATCCTATAAAAAAAATTCAACGTTACCGTTTACCGCTACAGTCTATCATAAAATCCACTGCTGATCGTAGGCCTCCGCATATTTGCCATAGTTGCCACACTTGGCAAGCGGGTGGGCAACCTCACTTTCTTATTTTTTTAGTTGTTATGTACCTACTCGTATTAGAAAGACGTTGTTACCCATCTCCTGGTTTGTTTCCCTCTGTCTACACAGGTTTTATCTGTTTATAAATATACACACATGGACGCATAGACTATTAAGGGCTGGTGATATAAGGATGGTGGAAAAGAGGATTTATATTTTAATAAATATAATAAAAATTTAAAACGGAATTGATCCGTTTGATAGTTTTTGACTTTCATAGGAGTTTAAAATAAGAACTACAAAAAGTATTATCCTAAAATATCTTAAGGTTGTAACTTCGACTTTAATTATTTTAGCTGTCAACTAAATTAGATAATTATCATCTATAAATATTCTACTTTACCACAGTTGAAAGAGAGTGTACTGACATATTAAGCGTTTACTTATTTTCAAAATCACTCTCTCATTAATTTATTAATTCATAAAATATGAATAGCCTTAATATTGTGCAATTTTTAGGGTAGTGTTTATTTTTAATGTAAGATTTTTATTGGTTTTATTTTAGCAATTATTTAATTACCATCTTCTACCTGTCCAATTTTCTAATTTTAAGAACTATTAATTTAATCATGAATTTATAATAAAATAATAATACATTTTTGGTTTAAGTAGCTACTGGTATTACGACTTCAGTGTTAAAGTAAATGATATCATAAAATCCCTTCTACCTTAACATACTGATTCGTTTAAATTGTATAATAATTTTTATTACAATATACAACTCCAACCCATTTTTGTCCGCAATACGGACGGTTAGTCGGTGCGTAGGCATTTTCATTTTCATCAAAGTTAAGCTTTACTTATCTGTTGAGTAGACTACTGAGCAATTTTAAAATGAATTTCCAAAATGTTGATGAAATAAATTCTAAAAAACAGACTACGGGAAGTAGCATCAAGCATTCTAGTCTACAGATACTTTATCAGATACGGTCCTCTCTAACACGGTAGAAAGCCAGTATGGGCTGTGTCTTTAAGGATTAAAAACTAAAGTCTTAGATGGAAGTTGCAGTCTTTTATTAATAATTTAGTAAGTTGAGACAAGTTATTTTAAGTGTTACAAATTAAAATAAATTATTAATTTAATATGTTCTAATCACTAGTATTAATAGTAGCCAGTGTTGATGGCATGAGCATTGGCAGCTTGGATGCCTGGTGCATTGATACTAGTGGCGCCACTCTCACGAAGAAGGCCTCCCCTTTGCTGAATGGCTTGGGCGGTACTGGCCTGGTAGTTTCCGAAATTCTGCGCAGCAGCGACAGCTGTTCCAAAATTGTTATTTCCGTTGAACCCTTGTGCAGCCGAGATCGCAGATCCTTGACCCAATCCGTTAGAGTTGGCAGCCGCCACCGCTGATTGATAGCCCAAACCATTGTAGTTCTGAGCGGAGGACAAGGCTGTTTGGAAGCCGCGGTTGTTCACATTGGAAATAGCTGAACCATATCCATTTTGAGATTGAGCTGCAGATAGTGCTGATCCGAAGTTGCCGTGATTGTGAGCAGAGGAGACGGCTGAACCGTAGTTGTTGCGGTTAAAATTGTTCGAAACGAATTGTTGGTTGCTGACAGGGTACGTAACCTGAGGTACCTTGGCTACTCCAGTTCCTCTGGCGAATGTGCGACCATCGGCAGATGCGAGCCCGCTACCGTAAGCTTCACCGCCGCCACTTTGGAACGAAGTTCCATAACTAGATGCCTGTTTAATACCGCCAATATCAGTGGCAAAGCCACTGCCAAATCCAAACGCTACACTTGGTGAACGGCCATCTCGTACGTAGATTTGAGGATAATTCTCTGTGAAGGAAAAAAAATATATATTTGTAGGTACAATCTTTTAGAACAATCGCAAGTTTTATATTATACACTATTGATACTATCAGGATGTTAATAGCTTTAATACTCTTCCAAGTCGGGGAGTATTATTTATCTGCAGTCGCAGAAACTGATGCCTTGTACTTAGATAATGAAACTACTCAAGACCCTGCCCGCTTTATTTAAAATATCTCATTTAAGAGTGTTTTTTCCGACATCTATCTAAGGTTTCAAGACCTTTCTTACGTTAAGGATATGTGATATATTCTTTAATTTCGTCAAAAACCACTTTCGGATAAGACCACAAAAATTAATCACAAGCCAATATTTTTTTTTATACAACAAAATGCATTGATTAGTATCGGCCTTGTTTGTTTTACACTTTGCCATTTGTTTTATTGTAATATACAAAATAATAATAAGTTACGCTACTGTGCGTTACTCGTATAACTTACCGATCCAAACAGGTACAGCCTGGCAAACAGTCAGTGCTGCTACAAGTACAATAAGCTTAGCTGCCATCGTGTATATTGCAAGGTGAACTGTACCTTTCGCCGATACCGGGTTGTGGATGACCGTGAACTACAACTCCGAGTATATATAGTAGAAAATCATCTCCCCACTGCTAATATTGAGTGGGTCAATAGAGATCTATCCGAAGACATTGACACTCATAAATTTATCTCAAGTCTTACGGTAAACTAATTTGATATCCCGGTGCTCTGTAACCATAAATTTCGCTACTAGTTATGTTGAATTATTAATTCGCAAGATCGGCCGGTTTTTGGAATTTCATTTCATAACCTGCGAACAAAAGATTAATTGACTTAAAATTGCAATAAATGTTCAATATTGAATTTAGATACTGAGGATTCTTTGTAATAAATCATTAGTTTTTCCTTTTTGTTTGATTTGTTTTCACAATACTATATTATTTTGATTATCTAGAGAGATCATTATCATCATCATTATAAACTATCAAAACTTCAATGCTGAATATAGGCCTCCCCCATAGATTTCCTCGTGCATAGTTACCACGTTTTTCAGGCGGATTGGCGACCACAACTTTTTATTTTCTACTTGTTATTAGGAAAATGTTGCTGCCCATCTCCTGGTTAACTTTCCTCTGACACCTCTTACGACACCCGTTCTTATTGGATATTAAAAAGATTTTATTATAAATTATCGACCATTTGAACCACGTGCTCGGCGGTGAAGGATAACATCGTGAGGAAACCTGCATGTCTGAGAAATAATAAGAAAAATATTTCGATGACATGTAAAGTTGGCCAACACGTATTGGGGCAGCGCGGCGGACATTTCCTTGCCCTAAAACTCTCTCATAAATAGGGGGTGGCCTGTGTCCAGCAGTGCGACGTATATAGGCTGTAACTTTAACTTTAAATTTTAACCATTTCAACAAAAACGAATTATGTTACTATATTTTAAATGTTAGCGTAATATACATATTTAAATAAAACTAATTTTACGTATTTTATCGCGTATATTAACTTATTTTATATTCCCGACGTTTCGGGTGCTTTCCAGGACCCGTGGTCACGGGGGACTGAGGTGTTTGACGTCCTGCTGTCATAGTTAGCCCGGCTACCTTCAGTTTTTTAATATTAATTTTTGGTTCGATTTACGGAGAATGAGCTTACAGTATCTTGAAGTCTAGCACTTGGGTTTGGATTTGATTTGATTAATTATAGGATCCCAAGCAGATGGCTGTGGACCCATCCATCTTCTCTATTGAAATTAGGATGTTTTTTTTAATTTCAATAGCCTCGCGAATCATCCTTGGGAGGAATCGGTGTTCTTTTGCGAGGATTTGTGGTCTGTCAAATCTAATGTAATGGCGGGGACGATCTTGAACATGTTCACAAACTGCAGACTTCCCGATACGTCGGTGCTTCACGTCAGCTAAGTCTTTAACGCGGGTTTTAATAGATCTTTTTGTTTGTCCTATGTACGAGAGACCACATTCACAATCCAGCTTGTACACTCCTGCATCTTGTAGAGGGATATGACACTTGATGGATGGTAAAAATTGACCAATCTTCTTCAGCGGCTTGAAGTATGTTTTAATGGAAGCTCGCTTCAAGATGTAGCCAACCTTGTCTGTGACTCCTCTGACATAGGGTAGTACAGCAGGCATACGCTCGACTGTGGCTGGCTTCACTCGGTCACTGTGACGTAGGCGCGGGACCCGAAGCTTGTTGTCTTGCAGTACTTGCTCGACGTGCTGAAGCTCGGCGGCCAGATGTTTTCTATCACAGATCTCTCGTGCTCTCTGAAACAAAGATTTTCCCACGGTAGCTAACTGTGAAGGATAATGGTGCGATTCACCATTTAAATATCGGTTGGTATGGGTATTTTTTCTGTACACAGTATGACCAATAGTGTTATCAGGAGTTCGGATGACTAAAACATCTAGGAAAGCTAAAGAATTGTTCGCCTCTAACTCTATTGTGAATTGTATTTTAGGGTTTATGGAATTAAGGTAGTTTAAAAATGCAGTTACTTTGTCAGATGGTAAAATTGTGAAAGTATCGTCTACGTACCGCTTGTAGAATCTTGGATTTACAGGAGCAGTAAGAAGGGCTTTTTCCTCAAAGTCCTCCATGAATATGTCGGCGACTACGGGAGATACAGGTGAGCCCATCGCCACTCCGTCTACTTGCATGTAGAACTCCTCTTTCCACAATAAATAGCCAGATGTGAGGCAGTGTTTGAGTAATACTGCATATTCTGTGGGCATGTTGTTATCTTCTAGCTTTCTAGTAACAATTGAGATGTAGTCTTCAATGGGTAGGCATGTGAATAGTGACTGAACATCAAAACTGTATCATTGTCAGCGAGATGTAGGTCTTTTATCTCACTAACAAAAGGGTATGAATCCTTTGTGTGTGCTCTGCTATGTCCTCTTAGTGGTGACAGTATTTTTGCCAAGTGTTGAGCCAACTTATAAGTTGGTGAATCGATCTGGCTTACTATAGGACGTAGTAGAGCGTTTGGTTTGTGTATTTTCGGTAACCCATACAAACTCGGTGGTTTGGCACATGATGGTATTGTCGAATTCACGTCGAGATCTGATTTTTCGGAGTATTTGTTTATTAAATCAGTAGTTGTTTTAAGTGTATTAGTTCTAGGGTCTATTTTGACCTTTTTGTATGTACTTACGTCCGATAAAAGTTGTTGTATTGTCTACGCGATAAAATCCGTAAAATTAATTTTATTTAAATGTGTAGTGTTCGCGTAAATATAAGAAATCATTATGTAATATACATATTTTAAATATAATATTTTTTCATATGATAAGTGTGACAAACGAGCACACGGTCCAACTGATGGTAAGTGGATGCTATGGCACTACAAACATCTATCCTCGATTACGAATCAAAAGATAGAGAGGTAGATGCGTTATCACCCGTGAGGCTAAGATGGAATGCCTCGTTTCCAGTAAAAGCACTCTCCGGTTCTCTGGTATTCTGTGAGAGCTAAATAACAAATCTGGAATGGAGATCCGACAATTTTTTTGTGGTAATAGTTATGAATCTAGAACCTATGGCTCAAGCAGGAAGTTCTTACTCTGGTACAGCGTGCTTTGTTGAGGATGGAAGTTGTAAGTCGATTGTTTTTAATTATCGCTAGTTTCAAGCTGTTAATTGTACACGAATACCTACCAACGCACCGGTTTCAATATTAAGACCTCTTCGAAAATACATGCATTACAATTGACCTTAAAAGTGTTAAGCTGTTAGCACCGTTACCAATGACATTGCTAATTTTAAGAGCGTATACGTTACGGTTTCGGCGATGAAGGAAAACGTTAGGAAACTTCAGATTCTAACCGAAGATTTGTTTAAAAACTTTTTTACGTGGCAGAGCCAAGCTGCAGCTATATTATGGTTATGTATGGCTGCAGCTATGGCACGAATGGGTCGGCTCGACCGGGGTACTGCCACGCTCTCACAGAATACCAACCTAAAATAGCAGCTTAATGCAAATATGCTTCATATGGACTCACCATAGAGAACCGGAGACCCTTTTTACTTGAAACGAGGTATTCCATCTTAGTCGTCAGGGGTGACAACGCCTCTGCATTTCGATTCTTAAGCGAGGATAATGTCTATGGGCCACAGCATCCACTTATTACCATCAGGTGGACTGTGTGCTCGTTTGCCATTCTTATTCTATAAAAAATAACGTTTTACTGGAATCCTCTTTTTACTAAATCCTTGTCTGAATCAAATAGTTGTACTTACTCTGCTGTTTTTCGGTCTAAAGGGTATAAGAGAGCCAGTATTTAAGTTGGATTCCCGACGGCACCGATGTAATTTTTAATAGCATATTCACCAGTATACCAATACCAATTACAAATCTAATTTACCAATATACCAGATACTATTAAACCTGTTTTATAAACAAAATTTGATCAGTTTTTAAACCTCCTTGATAAATTGTATAACTTAAACCCCCACATTTCTCTTATTATTTTAAAATATTGTCTCACTCGAATCCAGTCTGGTAATGTTCGGATATTTTAAAAGATATTGATAATAATCTTAGCTATAGAAACAATTTAAATTTAACTTTAAATACAACAGCCTGGACTCAAGCTACTTTACCTATAAAATTTGGAGGTATTGGTGTGAGAAATTATTCTAGCGTTGCATTTCCTGCTTTCCCATTGCTTCCGGGTATAGAGTCAGTGACTTATGTAACATAATTTTAAATAATAAAATAGACGTGTGCTTTGCTACGGAGGCTGGGTAGATATGCCGAACGCTCCGTCCCGGCGAGAATGTTCCACTGGAAGTTAACCAACAAAAACAGTGGTATACTCGTTGGTACAGAGTGTGCAGAAAGATTTGTTTAAAAATTTTCATAGTGACCAAGATCAGGCACGCCTTCTAGATGTTTCGACTAAGGAATCTAGTCGCTGGTTACACGCTTTACCATCAAGTAATCTCGGCACATTACTTGATGGGGAAAGCTTGCGCATCGCTGTAGGAAACCGACTAGGAGCGGCTATTTGTCAACCCCATCAGTGCTCCTGTGGCAGCAACGTCGACGAGTTTGGGCTCCATGGACTTTCATGTAAGAAGAGTGCTGGTATGTTATCACGGCACGGTTCTTTGAACGACGTCATCCAAAGGGATCTTGTCTCTATAAATGTTCCCTCGGTTTTAGAGCCTTGTGGAATATTTAGAGACGACGGCAGGAGACCCGACATTGCTCCCTTGGGAGAGAGATGAAGCCCTGGTGTGGGATGCTATTTGCGTATACACTTTGGCAGCCTTTCATGTCAGGGTACCTTGTTTAAGTTCGGGGGTGGCATCAGAGATAGCTGAATTGAGTAAGTGGCGCAAATATGAGTCTCTGAGAGATGACTACATATTTATGTCATTTGCTGTAGAGACTATCGGTCCGTGGGGTCCACGTGCGGTGAAGTTCTTAAAGGAAAACTACCCGCGACTGGTCGTTGCTGCTGGTCATAGGAGGGCTAGTTCTTTTCTCGCTCAAAGGCTAAGTATAGCCATTCAGCGAGAAAACGCAGCCAGCGTTCTTAGCACGATACCACGGAGAGATGGATTGTATTAAGATAAAGTACGAAAAAATGAAAAAAAAAATACCGTCTGCCCTATTTTATTACTAAAACACAATTAAAGACATATTAAGAAACTGAAATAGATCGTTATATAGCATATATTAAAAAATATTCAATATCCTAAATTTTCAATCTTGTAGTAGGTAATACTGGAATGGTAATTATTTAGGTAATTATTATAGCCAAGAAAAATTAAACAGTTGTTTAATATTTTAACCTCACGAGCGCAGACCAATCTCAATAGGTGTTGCTGAAACCAATAGTACCGCAACCGTGCGGTAGCATTTCTGTTGAGTCAGTGATCATTTTAGCTTCACGTCACTCATGCAATCAATCTTAAATCAATTTAATGTCTGTGTTCTCTTACTTTTCTACCGACTTCAATAAGTAGCCGGTACTCAATTCGACTGTATGTTTTTTTTATCTGCGTTACCTCATAACTTCTTACTGGGTGAACCGATTTCGATGATTCTTTTTTTATTTGAAAGCTGGTGCTTCACATGTGGTCCCATATAAATTTGATCAAGGTCTGACCAGTAGTTTTTGAGTTATTCTTAATCATTTATATTGAAGTCGGTTGTATAAAATGTTTAATTATAAATTATTTATCTTGGTTTTTTACGTACTGTTTTTATTTTCTCTATTAAAACTGCATAACTTAGAGTATTTAGATTTAGGTTAGCTTGCTTATGTATACTCTGCCTGTCTCGTTGTTCTAGTGGTCACAAACGCGGTTGCTGGCCACGAGGTCCCTGGTTTGACTCCCGGGCGGGCCAAAATCAGTTATTGGGTTTTTATGTCAGCAGGCCGGAGTCAGGAAGTTGGCGGTGTTTCATTCACCACCGTGGCTGGGAAAGCACGTTAAGCCGTTAGTCCTGTCGTGTCAGCTTACAGTCTCATCGGACTATGAGCGGGAGGGAATAGAAAGTGCACCTGTGCTTGTCCTACGCAGATGGAACTGGCCAAATTTGTATATAAGTAATAATATTAAGTATATGATACTAGAATTATATTTTTGACTCGAGTAAAAGCTACATTATTTCACAACCTACATTATTTTTAAACATTCTTCCCAAACTAGGATTTTCTCCTGTACCATGGAGACAGTTTACATGTAGGAATTGCTCAAGGATAAAAACAGAACTATTATTTTTGGGCCATACAAATACTTGTTCCCTACGGGTTTAAATCCGCGGCTCTCTCAGCGCTGCAGCTCAATACTCAGCAACGCTATGGAGCCGTCAAATAAATTTTATAAATCAAATAACAATAAACATTCTACTAGACATGATAGAGCCACGCTGCAGCTATTTGGCACGAATGGGTCAGCTCTACCGGGGGTCCTACCCCGGTAGAGCCGACCCATTCGTGCCACGTGCCACGCTCTACATAATATAATAAAATATAATAGAAATAGCGTGAAATAGCTGCGTAGTGCTGCTATGTTTTGTATGGTTAGTAGGTACAGAACCGAAGGCCCTTTTTACTAGAAACAAGGCATTCCAACTCCGTCATCAGGGGTGACAATCGCATCTGGATTTTGATTTTTAATCGAAGAGAAATGTAGATGTGTATGGGCCACGGCGTACACCTATCACGAAGAGGACTGTGTGCTCGTTTGTCATCATTATTCTTTAAAAAATACCTCGATTTCTGACGTGACTAAAATCTTACTTTTGAAATTTATTAATTATTTTGTGAATAATTAATGAAACATTTCATCCAGTTTGAATAATTATGGGTAAGTTTTAAAAGTTCATAGAACTGTGAGGTACATAAAATTTTATTGAGGATGTGGGCCGCTGATTCTTAATTATTTGCTTAATTTATATTAGATATATTATTTATATACAACTATTTACTTCGACACAACTGCGGTCGTACTTCATTAAAATGTTTAATGATGTTAAAAATAAATTATGTCTATAGTATTTCGTAACTGTAAAATATTGAAAAACTAGTAATAAATAATATTCCCCTGTCATTCAAAATATCAACACGTTCATAAAAATAAAAAGGATAAGTTATAATTCACAAGGTTTTTTTTTGTTAGTAAATCAATAAAAGTCGAAACAAGTTTGTAATAAAAGCTTTTATTATAAACTTTGTTTGACTAACGAATCCCTATAAATATCGAGTGAAAGCTATTTTCACATACAAGATGACAAACGAGGTCACAGTTTATCTAGTGGTAAGTCACTACAGATAATGGACAACGGTAACCAACTTTAAACAAAGGAGGCTCCAGAATGCATTGCCACCTCTGAGAACATAGGTGGAATGCCTAACTCCTGTCGTTTTTATTTGTGCAATCATCATACCCATCTAACATCAATACAAAAGCTGAGCCACGTTGGCTTCAGAATAAGTAAGAGGGACCCACGTAGACAAATCCCTAGATAAGTAAAAAACCTTGCCAAATAGATGGAGAGTGATAAATTAAATGTCTCTCTGTTTAGTAAACTCGTATGTTTGTTTTTCTATATATTTAACATGTCAGGCTCAGAAGGGCTAGAACCCAGAGCCGTAAAGCCAGTTTGATAAAATATTTAACATTTCAAGTTTTTATTTAAATTAAATTGACAAAAGAACTTACAATCCATCTAATGGGAAGTGGCTACTGCATGGACAACTGCAAGCAACGTAAAATAAGGAAGGCTGAAGCGTTGTTACTTATGAGGAGTAAGATGGAACGCTTTACAGCCTTAATTATACTGGCTCCCTACATCCTTCATAACGGAACACAGTACTGCAAGCCCTGCTATTTGGCGACAGAAATAGGTAAGAGGTAGGTACCTACCCAGACAGACTTCAAAGCTGCAAGTACAGCAATTATGGTAAGTCCTTTTTAGCACCATGAGCGAGGTTCTTGTCATTCACCGGACTTTTTGCTAGCTGACAAGTAGGAGAAGAGGCAGTTTCATTTTAGTTTGGAACATTCATAATTCATTTTTACACGTGGTAGAGCCATGCTGCTGCTATATCAGTAGAATAGTTGTAGCACGAATGAGTCGGCTCGACCGGGGAAAGACCACGCTCTCACAGGATACCAGCGTAGAGATCGGGAGACCTATTTTACTGGAAAAAAGGCATTCTATCTTAGTCCTCACGGCTGACAACGCATCTGCATTTTAATTCGCAAACGAAGATAGATGTAGATGTCTATGGGCCACAGAAACCACTTACCATCAGGCGGTCTGTGTGCTCGTTTGTCACCATAATTCTATTAAAAAAATCTGGATCTAAGGGACAATAGCAAATGAGGTAAGGTATTCTCTTCCTCAGCCACCACTGGTTCTACTAGAATTATCTTCTTTCCCTGTGGGTGTCGTAAGAGAACACTAATGGAAAATGCGAAAAGTATCACATGGCATGGCAGTATAACCATCTAGTTTACGCCAGGCGTATCTTCCGGTGCTGCCAAGCGTGGTGATTAAAGCAAATCCTTCCTTAAATGGGAGAGGCCCGTATCCACCAAGTGAACTTTGTGGCTGATATTGATGATTATGATTAATGTAAGATATGGTACTTCAGTGTTCACCGTATGATGCTTTTAAAGTCCTCAGCGAGCTAGGGGAAGTCTTATGCTCGAAATTTCACTGAGTGGTGGAAACGGCAACGATGATATTTACAGTAGTATCAGAGTAACCCACGTATCCCAAAATTTCAGTACGCTGAAGTGGCAACGGGTAGGTCATTTAGCTCGAAGTACCGACAACCGTTTTTATAAGTAGTAGAGTCACGCTGTGACTACATTATGGTTACAGCGTAATCAGCTCTCCTGGGAAGGACCACGCTCTCACAGTACACCAGCGTAAAATAGCAGCTAAATGCTGCTGTATTTCATATAGTGATTCTAGAGAAGCGGAGACTTTTTTTGCTGGAAACGAGGCATTTTATATTACTCCTCAGGAGCGACAACGCATCTGCATCATAGATGAAGTCTATGGGCTACAGCATTCACTGACCATCAGATAGACTTTGTGCTCTTTTGTCACCCTTCGAAAGAAAGATTCTTTAGTGGCAGCCTCGCACCCGGTAAGCGAACTTTAGGGCAGCTCCCTACTAGATGGAGTGACGCCTAGTTCGACCTGCAGGTGGCTTAGGACCGTGTTTTGTGGTGTCCCTTGGCCAATGTGAATATTGCACTTATGAACGGCTATAATAATAATGATGAAACAGAAATTAAACTCTTTTGGGATACAATAAAGTAATTTATTGTTACGTTTGAAGGTTAAAAGCCTAAATATTTTACAAATTTATCACAGTTAGGACACACTTTTGATTATTATTAAACACTATTCTGTGCTTCTACCGGACTTGTAATGATCCACTTGTCTAAAACCATAATCGCCATAATCTGGCCCATTCGCATAATCACCTCCGTAAAAACCGCCGTGAAAACCACCAAATGATCCTTGGTGGCCCTCGTAGCCTGCATTGGGATAACCATTTCCGGCATTGTAATAATTCCCATTGAACTGGTTATTGTGGGAGCCGTACCCGTTGTTGTAGTATCCAGGTCTTTGCCTATTGCCGCCAAAGCCCCCATGACCTTGGTATGGGAAATGTCCATTATATTGATAATTGTTGGGAGAGTAACCACCCCCGAATCCGGGACCTCCCGCGCTCGAAGTAGATTGCGACTGACTGATGCCGATGCTTATTGGTGGATATGGATAGCCCCCTTGGTACCCACTTTGATAACCACCACCATAGCCCCCACCATGCTCTCCACCACAAATACCTAATTTGTAGCACAGTTTATTTCTTAACAAGGTACGTGGTACTCTTTTGTGGGCATCGCCTCCATTTTCTACAAAAAAATTATTAAGTTAATTAGAAATCTTATTAATACTTATACAGAATTTAGGTTATCTCGTTTATATTTTTGATAATCAATATAAATAAATAAAATGTAAATTTCTGTTTGTAATTTCAAAATAACAGCCATTTACTAAATGCATATAAAAGTATTTATGGTACTTATAACAAAAAAGCAATTTTTAAAATCTTTGTCCATCTGTCTGTCTGTCTGTTTGTTTCGGCTAATCTCGGAAACGACTGGACCGACCTTGACGAGATTTTCACTGGCAGATAGCTGATATTAAAAGGAATAACTTAGGCTACTTTTATTTTAGAAAAAGAATTAGGGATCCGCGCAAAATATTAAAACCTATGAAATCCAATAGTAACAAATTCCACGCGATCGAAGTCGCGGGAAGCAACTAGTGAATAGATAAATATTGAATTCAATCATTATTCTGACGTGCGATATCTATGTTGTGTTGTCATCTTTTCGACAAATAAAGAAAATTTACAGATTATATTCGTCTCACAGCTGGGCAAAGGACTCCTCTCATTTCTAAAAGGGTTACAGAGGAATCAGTCCAACGGACCCCTACAGTACCGAGAAGGCGACGTACATACATAAATTGCACGGGGACAACCACCCAGACCCGGAACAATTATTTGTAGGCCACACAAATATATGTTCCTTGCGGGATTCGAACCAACGAACGTGGCAGCAACGCAGCTATGTGCTTAGACACTGTGTTACTGAGCAATAAAACTCGTAATTATGGATGGCTGCGTAAGAGATACAAGTAGATTCTATTATGCCGCTAACACACGGTATAAATACTTTTTTAAAAGAGTTGCCTTATTCACAGTGTAGTAGCGGCTTTATAGAGAGGCGACCTGGGTGGTAGACACGGGTCAGAAATCTAAGGCTACGTCTCTATTTAACAACAGATGGGATTATAGTCAAGCACTTGTTTACTAATTCAAAGGGAAGACGACACAAATGTTCACCACCGGGGTGTCCGGATGGGTAAGGCCGGCTCTGCTTACTCACCACGCTGTCAGAACTATGATATGGGGACTGACAAAGGACCCGTCCGAAAATGCAACACAAATCTCACAATTAAAGTAGCATTAGAAGGGCGACGAGATAGACACTGCGCACATAAAACTGTAGGCAACGCTACCAAAACCAAAAGACATACACGATTGTGTACTTTTTTGTAGCACAATACACAATCAAAATACTGTTACGTAATAATTTGAAATTGGGTTTACAATGTAACGGTTTTAATATGCCGCTAAAATCGAATCGGCGCTATTGATAAAGCCATCAATTATACATAAAAACTTGATTACAACCTTCGGCTAGGGCTCCGCTCAACCCGACGATAGCAATAGCAAAAACTAGCGCGTTCATTTTCGCGACGCTGTACCGTTTGTTCCGTTATCGAATGTGTTGGTTTTTTGTGAGGTTCATAACATTTTATAGGTCAATCCGAGGTCTTAACCCACGCTCTTTGACATTGAAATTACAAAATGGTTTCTACAGGAAATACTACGTTTCCAAACTTCGATACAATTCCCTTATTAGTATTTTCGGAAGTAGTAGCATCTACGCAATTTGCAAGGCAGATTAATTATTCATAGTTTAATATGTACATATATTTTGCTATATTTCAAAGAATCGCATATCATGTGGTATTATTTAACTTTTAATGATGATAACGTCCTCTAGCCAGCTTAATAATTATATTTTAATGCCTATTACTTTCGATAACACATAAATCTCGAATCGCACGGAAACGGTGAACAAACTAACGGTGAAAGAAAAAACTTATTTTTTTTATAGGATAAGTGTGACAAACGAGCACAGAGTCCACCTGATAGAAAGTGGTTACTACGGCCCATATTTATCTACATCTATCCTCTATTACAAATCAAAATGAAGATGCGTTGTCACCCGTGAGGACTAAGGGATGCGAATCAAAAGTTGACCTTATTTCCCATTAGTTTTTAGTTTCAATTGCCATACAACATAAAGATTTTAGGGTTTATTTTATGATACCATATGTTCGACACTCGTGGCATTGTACAGAGTAATTTGTAATGAGGTGCAATGCAAATTTTATACGTGGTAGAGCCATGCTGCATCTATATTAGGTTGTAGCACGAATGGGTCGGCTCGACCGGGGAAGGACCACGCTCTCACAGAATACCAGCGTAAAATAGCAGCTTAACGCTGCTGTGTTTTGTATGGTGAGTGTAGAGAACCGGAGACCCTTTTTACTGGAAACGAGGCATTCCATCTTAGTCCTCACGGGTGACAACGCATCTGCATTTTGACTCTTAATCGAAGATAGATGTAGATGTCTATGGGCCACAGCGACCACTTACCATCAGGTGGACTGTGTGCTCGTTTGTCACCCTTATCCTATAAAAAAAAAGAAAAAATATAATTAATTTGTATCCAAATTATAATTAATTGGTACCCCTGCCGCAGCTCAGTTTGCGTTGGGTCATTTTTAGGATTTCGTACTCAAAGGGTAACCAACGGCACCCTATTACCATCTGTCTGTCAGCGGCCTGTATCTCATGATACGTAATTGTTAAATAATTGAAATTTTCACAAAATGTGTATTACTGTTGCCTGTATAGCAAACAACAAATAATAAAAATTAAAATAAATTACAAATTAAAGTAGGCTCCTCTACTAAGAACGTGTTTTACGATTGTACGAAACCCATCATGCGCGAGTACGACACGCACTTGGCCAGCATTTTGTTAGAACCAGGAATGATTCCATATTCTATTGCGTTTACTGTCCTGTTCTTTCTCTTTCTTACTGCCCCCTTCCCGTAGACAATGCAACACTAATACGATAGATCACAACAGTGGGACTGCAGGTACCACTTTCTAGACGCCTTGATATTAGGACATAACAATTGAACATATAAGCGTTACTTGCATGAAAACGGAACCCCAAAACTCTCTATTGTCACAAATAATCTGGTTTCACCGGTCACTTATCTTAATTGTATAATAATATAAAAGCTAATCCTATAAATTTCCTAAATAAACTGGTGATATTAATTTAAATTGAATTAAATAGCGACTAAATTAATTCCGTAAGACGAATGAACACCAGTTCAGTACTAACCACTAACCATTTATTATGTCAGGAGGATATTGCCAAACATCCTTCTTAATTACAATCTACCGACTAACTTTCTATTAAGAGCAAAGTAGACTTGGAAGTAAACCTTTAAATTAAATAATTAGGTATCTTCTTGAACTTATTATAAAGATTTCAATAAAAATGATTGCCATCTATACAAATAAATAAAATTGGAGTGTCTGTTTGTAATGTCAAAATTACTAAATGAATACAAAAAAATTTTTACTAAATGTATATGAAAGTATATACGGTACTAATAACAAAAATACAATTTTTAAAGTTTATGTCTGTCTATCTGTCTGTTTGTCTGTCCGTCTGTTTGTCTGTCTGTTTGTTGCGGCTAATCTCCGAAACGGCTGGACCTATTTTGACGGGACTTTCACTGGCAGATAGCTGATGTCACAAGGAGTAACTTAGGCTACTTTTATTTTAGACAAGAAATTAGGGTTCCGCGCAAAAAAATTACAACCCCATATAACACGCGGGCGAAATCGCGGGGAACAGCTAGATATAAATAATTAAAGAATAATTATTATTCTAGGTCTAGGGGATATCTGGGCGGCGTTTAATCTATATAAAAGAATTCTTATATAATATTTACTCCCTGAATAATGACACTAGTATGGTTAATAAAACTACTTTTAAGGATTCTATCGCGTTTAGTTATACTTATTTTACTTAGTATAATTAAACGCGATAGAATCCGTAAAAGTAGTTTTATTCAATGTGAAGTGTTCACGTAAATATAAGAAATCACTAGTATGTTTTTTCGATACAATCTTTGTTTTTATTGTCTTCCAAACCAAATCTGCTTGACTGCTCACAGCAACCAGTCTCAACGGAAACTAACCATCTGCGCAGGACAGGATCGCATAGAGGAGTTTTTACCCGACTGCCTTAAAAGGAGGGTAATATTTTTCGAATGTGTTGCTCGACTTGTGGTTAGATTTGTCTTAATTATTGTGAGAGTGGAGTAAAATGATTTCTGTTTTCAATAAACTTTAAAACGCAGTCGTGGGTTTTTTTAATTACACTGTTTTAACCTTTGGGCTTGTTACTTTTAAGAGCCTCTTTTCCCTACTTAAGTATATAAATTGCACCTGAACAAACATCCAGACCCGGAAAAATTATTTTTCTTAGTCAGGATTCGGTTGTAATTTTTGTTTGAATAAAAACGAAAAGAGGAAACGTGATCATATTTGCGATCACATACCCTCCTTTCGTTTCTCTCTCTACTGTCGTTGCTAACTTTATCTTACACAACCCATAAGTCCTGAATATTTTAAATGTAAGTTTCAATATCAGGGTGATTACCACGACCGTTGTTCTTCCTTCTACAGACAAGTCTACACTTGTCGTCCAATATATCACACCGGCTTCATGTACACCTCACACTGCCCTACAAAACGTTTTAACGTAGATCTTAAGACTTTTATACCATTTTATGTCATCATTCTTACTGCCCCAAACGATTATAATTTTTTCTTACCTTGGAAAGTAAAGATACCAAAATTCTTTCGCTAAGGTATAAATGACCTTGACTCGAGAAGACAGAAATGTATAAATATATTTTACTTTTATTATACAAATAGAAAAACGACAATTTTATACTTAAACCACTAATAACAACTTAAATTTGTAGATGGTAGATTATCCTCAATATGCTTGCAGGCTACGGATTTAAAAATAACTTAAAAGATTTATGCAAGATAAATTTTATGAGTTCTTTTTCACCACCTCTGAGACTGGCATTAGCTTGTGTGGCCTTTCTGCCGAATCGGAAGCGACCCTCTTAAGGGAAAAGGGGGCGCCGGCGGCGAGGAGCCGCTGAGAGGAGAGGCTAACTAAAGCAAATTAAGGGCGGGGCGAAGATTCGGCCTGAGCCGCCAGGTCTTTTTTTTACATGCGGATATGCTTACGCACACTCGCCTCGCGAAGGCAAGGACGAGTTAAGTCGGACTTGCTCCGACTAAAATTCCATGGCGTTCTACCTTTGTCCAGTTCAACGGGAATCAATAGGTATTTAGTGAGAGGATATGAAAATATATAACATAAATAGTTGTATCTTTTCAAAGTCTTTCATTTTCATTTGACTTAGAAGCTTGTATTTTTTACATCTCCAAAGAACCGTATACTTTAATATTTATATAATAATTTCAACCCATACGACCGAAAGGCCAATCAACGGATTCAACTCGGCTGGGCAGCGTTCGGGAGATTATGACACATCTTCTCGTACACCTCAAAACTTTAAAACATGACTATACAACCAGTAGGTGCCAGTGCCAGTGATGACATAGGGATCGCAGACGTTGTCCTTCACTGCTCGCCGTATAAAAAAGCACAAAGGTGCCAAGCGACCTGTGGAGAGGGCTATGCTCAGAGTTTCTCTACGAGAAGACTTAGAAATTAGCGTATCCGCAATAAAACCAGAATAACTGACATAGCCCAAGGAATCAATAAGCTGAAGTGGCAATGGGCCGACCATATTGCTTGAAGAACCAAAACCGATGGAGAAGAAAGCTTCTAAAGTAGCTGCCTCATACCTATCAGTGAAGTGTAGGGCGGATCGCACTAGAGTGACGACCTGGTAAGAGATGCAGGAAGTCGATGGATGCTGGTGGGCTGAGGGTGGCAATCCTTGGGAGGCCTATATTCAGCAGTAGACTTGTGAATGGCTTTTTTATAAGATAAGGGTGACAGACGAGCACACAGTCCACCTGGTGGTAAGTGGTTGTTGTGGCCCATAGACATCTACATCTATCCTCATAGTCCTCATGGGTGACAACGCATCTCCATATAATCAAAATGCAGATGCGTTGTCACCCATGAAGACTAAGATGGAATGCCTCGTTTCCAGAAAAAAGGGTCTCCGGTTCTCTACACTCACCATGCGAAACACAGCAGCGTCAAGCTAATTTACGCTGGTATTCTGTGAGAGCGTGGTCTTTCCCCGGTCGAGCTGACCCATTCGTGCTACAACTATACCAGTAATGTAGCTACAGCATGGCTCCACCACGTAAAAAAAATGGTTGTAATGAATCACCTCTACCAATTCAAAAGTCGAACAACAAAGTAATTATATAAGGCTTTTGATAATTTTTTTTTTGTTTTGAGTTACGACAAACTAAAAATTAAGCATCAGCCATAAACTCTTCTTTTAATTGGTTCTACTTGCTGAATAACGATTACATCTAGTATATAATAGCTGGAAAGTCTGTCGAATTTCAAGAATTAAGCCA